ACTGTCAACAGAATCAAAAGGACCATCAAAAGCACGTAATTTATCTAAAACATCGAAAGATTTTTTTACACTCCGAAAATAGTTAATTCCACTATTTTCATATGTTTTATTACAAATGGTAACGACAAGCTCAGAACCTAGTTAAAAGCACTAAACTAGAGGCCGAGATGAAACGATAATTTACTGTTTTTTTGTGTGTTTGGTTTTTTTTCCAGGTAACCAATAAATAGTAGGGACCTTCAAATGTTCAGAAGAGACCTTATCCTGTGATATGATTATGATTGTTTGCTAAATGACTCTCTGTGGAGCGCACGGACTTGAATGTAGAAGAATTTGAAATTTCATTCTTAAGAACGTCCATGTAGTATTTACGGCATACCACCACCACATTGTTGGCTGCTTTGTCGGCCGGTACAAACAGAAACCGCTTTGCGAGTACTTGAAGTTTGTTTCTTATTCTAGAAATAGACGTATTATATACTCGTTTGTTTATTTCTAAATTATTTTCAAAATGTGACATTCGAATATCCACAACATTCATACATTTATTTAGATAAGAAACAAGAGATTGTTTTATCAGATTTTTCCTGTTTACACCAATTATTACAAAACGATGAAAGAGCGTCTTTTGTGACCTGACGCACTGTTTTCCAATCTATTTTCGATGAAGGACGATATTTCGGTCCTTTTTTCAAAAAGTGTTTACCTTCTCGCTCTTGAACGATATTGAGGTTCCGGTAATAACATGGCCATAGGGATCATATCTAAAATTCGACGATTCAGTCTCAAGTTAGAGGAGTATTATTTTCTACACTCAGTCTGACGTCTGATGTTACTGACGTATAATTAAAAAAATAAACTTCTGCTGGTTTTTTTTTGTATGTATACGAAATAGTAGGTGGTTCTGTGTTCAATACCTCTGTTAATATATTTAATTTTCAGAAAATGCCGTTTATGATCTTCAGGTTTATCGATACGCGGGAACAGCTTAATGTATACGATGTTTAATTCGTTGAGTTCGATTGATACTATTCCATGAGACCTATCATTACGTTGTCTTTTATCAACAATATTCATGATATCAATAGAGGAAGTTTAAGATATGTTCCCTTGTCCCATTGCATTGTCATTTAGACCCAGAGGATATGCTGTTTGCAGTCGTTTAATCCAAGACAGTTCGATAATTTTACGGGAATCTTCAAACTGTTTATACGATTGCCCTTGTTGTTTCTGTATCGTTCCGAATGGTTGGAATCTTATAAACTTAATATTTTGATTGTGTCTACCTAAATGGTGGTTAATTATTATACTTTTGAATTTCTTAGGTTTTCGGAAGCGGTATAGATGTTCATGTGTTCGTCTAAGAAATTCCCGTCCTGTTTGTCAAACATATTGTATACCACATTTTGGCTTTGTTCAAGTAACAAGATAAATGAGGCTTTGAGTTTTTCATGTAATGTCACAGTTACAGTTCACTTCACAGGCATGACTAAATGAGGCCAAAAATATCATCCAGAATGAAGGAGTTTTGGATGGGATTTACATAATAGAGAATAAATATATCATTGAGTTTCACATGTTTCAAAACAAATGTTAGTTCCAGAATCTTTTTGAAAAAATATATATAGTTTGTTTTTTTTATTTTATTGAGGGAGGGATTGTTTGTCCCGAGACAAAAAAAAACATGTTAGTTTCCATTGAAAATTAGAACTAACATTACATTTGGCGAGGGGGGGGGGAGGGGCTTGTTTGTCCCGAAACAAAAACCAATGCCTCCTACAGAAGATGAAAGTTCGTTGCCTGGGTCTTAATTCTTAATTCTTTCTTAATTTTAATTTTAACACTTTTTTTCTACGAAGCGACGTAACTTTATTCTAAAGTATACGTATGTCAATCATCCACAAACGTATTATAGAAATGAGAATGGAAACGGGGAATGTGTCAAAAAGACAACAACCCGACCAAAGAGCCCAAACAGATCAAGGCCATCAATAGGTCTTCAACTCAGCGAGAAAATCTCGCACCCGGAGGCGGACTTCAGCTGGCCCCTAAACAATAATGTATATTAGTTCAGCGAAAAGGGCGCCCACCAAACTCCAAAACATATTAATGAACCAAAATTTAAAATATAAACACACAAGACTAACAAAGGCTAGAGGTAAATGTATTTATAATCGGGCGGGCTCGACATCTGACAGATACGAGGAAATAAACACCTATAATGAATAACTTCCGTAACGTTTGTTAAGTGCATATTTACTTCTAAACTTGTAATATATATCCTATTGAATTTGATATATAAGTTGTGTATCGAAATTCATACAATAGACATACAAGAGTTTTCATTTTTTCTTTAAAATAATCAAATATAGGGATAATTATTGATTTAGGTTATTTTCCGAAAATGTTTTTTGTATAAACATGTCCAGTTTTAGCTATATTTTCTGCTCGAATGCCCATTTATAATACTTCGTCTGTTGAGCATGTTGAGCGATAACATCTGCCATGCGCAATGCAAATCTTCCTCCTTATGATTATTTCATACCAGGTAAGACACTCTTATATTTTCAATGCAAATATTAATTTTTTCGTCACTTAATTGTGTACATAAAATAACATAAATCCGTGTAGTATCAATTGTTTCTTTAAAGTTTCACAAGTTTCAATTGATTTTGTTATCAATATTCCGTACATAATACAGAAGCTTTATAGTGTTTTGTGAAACAGTGACTCCCTAGTCCTCTAACTTATGACCTCAGGTGATGTTTCCTGTTTCTAATGTTTCTGATAACTTATTTAATTTACTGTGTTTTGGACTTTTATAACTTTCAGTTTGCATTCAAGTAAAAACCTCCAGTGCGGGAGTCGAGGGTTCGAGCCTCGGCCGAGTCAATCCACAGAACTTCAAATTGGTATTTACTGCTTCTCCGGTAAGCACATGATATTAAGGAGTAAGAGCAACTCGTAGTCAGAATAATGTATCCGGATAGTGTGACATCTCTTCTTGTGGACTGTTACTTTGCAACCAGCACAATAAAAAAGAATCCGGTTCATGTTGTCGGTCTAGTAAACATCAATGTTCATATATGCATATTCATATATCGCATTAACAAATTCTTGTCCTAAATATAGATTTAATTTGCCACTGGACGTTAAACAGCCATTATAGTTTTTTTCTCATTGTTGAAGGCCGTACTGTTGCTTATAATTGCTTACACCCACTTCATTTGAACTTTAGTGAATAGTTGTCTCATTGGCAATCATACCATATCTCCTTATTTTTCTATTCATCATTATCCATCATCAAAAGTTTTATTTGGCCAATGCTTTATGTTACAATCTTTCAGTGCCATTTCCTAACTGCCGGTATAGTACTAAAAAACTGTCCGTAATTTCTCAGTTCATTTTCTCTCAGAGACCAATGCGCAGGGTTAATCAAAGGAATTGCTGTAATCTGTAACGTATTCCGATATCAAGTCTTAATCTATACAACTCAAATAATTAAATAATTTTCTAATAAAACGAAATCGTCTAAACTTGCTACTTTCCTTTTAGAATATAATTAAAATAGAATTTAAGATAATTTCATGTTTTCAATAATTGGGGACTATAAATCGAATTCAAATTAAAAACGATAGACGAAAGTAGCAAAAATTCCTTTACAGAGATATACAGAGATGTAACAAGATTTTAAATTTTTGCTTTAAAATTATAAAATAAGTGTGTCAAATCTTTAAATCATGTCATGTACGAGGTTGTGGATGGGGGTTTACAGAATAGAGAATAATGAGCAAAACATATAAAGAATAGAGAAAAATGGCCTAAAAAGTTAAAGAATACAAAAATGTAGGACCCCATCCAGACCCTCCTGTATTTTCTACTTTTTCTTTCGTTTTAACTTTATCATCGAATTTCAGAAAATACAGGTAAACTAACCACAAGTATTAATATCAGGTTGCAAAAAGTTGACCCTTGAATTATGACCGATAAATGAAGATATATTACTATATACAAAATAGATAATTATTCGGTTTCTGCAACAGTTTAATAGTCAAGGTATGTAATATAATTCAGACCTTTTAAATTTATTTATTAGAAAAGATGACGTGTGCACATATGCATACCACAATCTTTTGTACACATGGTAAAGAAGCTGCGTATTGTATAACAAAAATATCAAATATAAAGAATAAAACTTGGATCTTAAGTTATATGAGGGTCTGGATGGGGTTAACAGAATAGAGAATAAGGACCAAATTATATAAAGAATAGAGAAAAGTGAACAGAAGCTTAAAAAATAGAGAATGACTTGAATAATGGGGTGCAAAAATATAAAGAATAACCGAGGAAATAAAAAAAAAAATGTGTGATTCAATACTGATTACAGAAATGAACGATATACAGAATAAAGTTTAGTTCTTAAGAATTGACTGCTGCTTTTTGCAATTTCATTGGGGTGTAAAGGCGTTGACTGTGTGCACACTATCATCTTTTTTGTTACACCCTAAATATATAACACAAAAAAGAAGCTTTCATTCTTTAAAATTATATTTATATGCTACTACTCAGGCAAAGTTGATCTTAGATGGATTTGGCTATTTGTTTTAGGCATTTTTGTCATATAGCTCTTCAACTGTTTCGGTACTTATACATCCCTCGGGTTTCAAATGTTTGGCTTTGAGCGTTCCTGATGAAGGTAAATCCAGAAAAGCGCTTCGGACGCATGAAATTATTAAACGTGTTGTTTTCAATTTTCTACTACCTTGAAATCACAAGTTATATCAAGCTTTTGGTCTGTTTTCCTTTGCATTAACGTGACGTTCGAGAAATAAAATTTGTTTTGGAACGCCTCACGAATTTTGTCATCCAATCGAAAGTACGTATTCTTATGAAACATACACGGCCGTCATACATGTAATGCAATATGCATGCATTAGTTCAACAATTTTCTTAACATTATAATCTTTTCTGCATTGTAATACCACTTTTAAGCTCTTTTCCGCACTGCAACACATTTTTATTTTAGATTTTCAATTTACATGTGATAAACGATGGCTGTCCATGTTGCCGCAATAGACTTTGGGACGACGTATTCAGGATATGCATTTTCAGTTAGCGCACCAGAAACAGAGCTTAAGGATGTAGAAATTTTATCTAATCAGATATGGAATTCTGGGACGGCGGAAATTGCATCACTAAAGACACCCACGTGTCTGCTGCTCTCTAAAGATAGAAAAGTAACAGTGTTTGGGTATGAGGCAGAGGAACAGTATGCAGACATTGTATTGGATGGAAATGTCGATGACTACTACTTCTTTCATAGATTTAAGATGAATCTTCACAATAACAAGGTAAATAAAAGTGATTTGGAAATATTGGATATAGTCTATGTTTATGTAACCCGAATAATTCAGTCGTTATATTCCACTGCTCTACGGTGGCTACATTAACGCCTGAAGGCCTTGTCAACAAAAAAAATCGTCAAATAATCATTCGGAATTAGCTCGGGACTTACCTATCTCAATAACATTGAGCTATTATTAGCTCACAGAGAGCACCAATCAAAATCCTGGATTCGTGACGCGTTTTTATTGTATAAAGAATTCAGGCCCTCGCGAATTATTCGGGTTAATGTTTATGATTTCTTTTGCAATCCTTGACCTGGGACTATAATACTTAGTTTAACAGTCCCAGCCTTGATTTATTTTAGGTTAACATACTTGGCCTCCTTTTCTGATCTTTTAGCTGTTTCTATATTCACTATAGTTTTAGCAATACTATTACAGTTAAATCTGTGTACCGAATACCACTTCAAGATATACCTACTGCACATTTCGGTTCTACTCACGAAAACTATAATGAATAGATACATGAGATACTCACTCAGGCAAAATTTACCTTAGGAGAAGTTGAATATTCTGGTTTTGGTTCTTTTTCATTGTTAAGCTCCTACCATTGCTACAGTTTGAGCGTTCGTGATGTAGCTAAATATAGAAAAATGCTTCTGATGCGCACAAATTATAAAATTTTATTTCCATTATGAAAATTTTATTATTAATAAGACAAGAAAAACCTACAAATATGTCAAAAAGGACCGAATCAGAAGTATTCTCCTAAAGGCGATATTGCTCTTTAATGAAAATCTGTTTGTATCCATTTTAATCACAGTTGAAACCAATTGTTTTAATCTTTTCCGCCCATTATATTGAAACTAAAATGGATATTAGTAGACAAAATTGATCAGCGAGACAACAATTTGGCCAACGCTAGTTTCTATTCTACAAAAATATTATTGTAGCACTGTACCAGTTTTCTGCAAAAGTAGTAGGTAAGCGAAAAAGGCTACGCAATTGGCCTTAAGTTCTCAAATTACTACAAAGCAGCCTTCAAAAATAAATTTCTATTCTTAGAAAAATAAAAAAGTTTTGACCATTTGATGATATCTTTATCCCTATTTCATAAAATTGAGAATGGAAATGGGGAATGTGTCAAAGAGACAGCAACCCGGACCAAAGAGCAGAAGACTGCCCAAGCCCACCAATGGGTCTTCAACACAGCGAGAAAATCCCGCATCCGGAGGCGGGCTTCAGCTGGCCCCTAAACAAAAATGTGTACTAGTTCAGTGAAAATGGACGTCACACTTAACTCCGAAACATATAAATGAACTAAAATTTTTAAAAAATTACAAGAATAACAAAGGCCCGGGGCTCCTGACTTTGGACAGGCGCAGAAATCAGTCAGGAATAAACATGTTTTGTGAGATCTCAACCCTCCTCCTATACCTCTAGCCAATGTAGAAAAAACAAACACACAGCAATACGCACAGTAAAACTCAGTTTAAAAGAAGTCCGAGTCCGATGTCAGAATAGGTAACAGAAGAAACTAAGCAAAATGACAATGATAACAAATGACTACTAGCAGTTACTGACATGCCAGCTCCAGACCTCAATTAAACTGATTATGAGATTATGTCTTCATCATATAAATAAATGAACCATATTTTCATTGAACAGTTTATGAAAAAATTCACAAAAATTTCATCAAATTCAAAATACTTTTTCTCCCTTTTCTGCTTTTTATATTGACAAATTAATGACTCGATTTCAATATAATAATCATTTTACAGAATATATCTATGACTATGGTTCTTGAAGATGTCAGAGGACAACCTCTACCTGCTATAGACGTATTTTCGTTGTCAATCAAAGCCTTAAAAGACCACCTTAACAATACTGTTGAAATAAAGAATATAGTACTAGACGATAGGAAAACAAAATGGGTACTTACAGTACCTGCCATTTGGACGGACACAGCCAAACAGTTTATGAGAAAAAGTGCTGAAAAGGTTAAGCACTCATTTATTTTGAAATATGAATTATCAATCAAAATTGTATTAATGTAATATAAGCTTTTTATCGTAACGTCTGTATATGGTGACACGTTTTCTTGGAAAAAAATGCTGTTTGATTTGCTGCGTGCTACCACTCGATCTATTCTTATTTTACTAGATTAGAATAACAGGCCAGCACGTATAAACTACTGTTATTGAAAGATTGCGTGCGTAAGAGACACTTCAAATAAATTGAAATATACAAAAAAATTATTAAAAAAGATTAAACAATGAAAATAGAAAGAAAGGTGTTCCGGCATGCCTAAAACGTCTGTGGTATATGGTGGTTGTTATGCACCGCAACTCAGTGACCAGAATATGTTAGTATAAGGTTACACTTAAAATATTTGCTTTTCCGTCTTTTTTGTTGAAATGTTATTAATACCAATTTGTAAAATTTTGGATGTCCAGTCCTTATTGAATATTTTTACCCTATTTCCAAGTAGAAAACCATAAAAATGAGATTAATTGAATTGCTCCATTGTCAGGCGACGCTCCAAATCTAAGGCACAATAGCCAGTGTTTAGCCAGTGTAATTTCTTTTCTTTTTTTCAGGCTGGAATATCGCGTGATATGCTAACAATTGCACTTGAACCAGAAGCAGCATCGATATATTGTCAAACGTTCCCGTCTGCTGGTTGCAGAGAAATCACAGAAATAGGATCAAGATATATGGTCGCAGATCTTGGCGGTATATTGTTAGTTATTGTGATGTTACAGTTAAGCCTTTAAAGGGGCCCCAGTGACGACACACAAACTCCGAAACATCGGTGATGTTGCTTTAATAAAGTCAACGCAGAGTAGCAAAGACAATATTACCACTGTTTTGGAGTTTGAACGAGACCTAGCCTTCACGTCTAAATAACAGAAAACAAAAATTATAACGATCGACAAAAATGTACAATAAAGATATAAGATTTTTTATACATGAGAGGTGTTGTCAGAGTTAGACATTACACGCTATAGCTTTTGACATATCAACGTATTTGGTGCAAAGAATAATAAAAGCTTTGATAAAAAAGCAATTAATTGAAACAATTGTCCAAACGAAATTAATTAGGAGTCATTCAACCATTAATGATTTTTCTCTTGTATAAAACAGATGTTTAAATCTAATTTGTTACTAAATATTGTTGAAAATGACGAATTGTATCTATTGATCCCATTAAAAATTTTTAAGATACTATTTCGGATTATATTCTAGGTGGTACAATAGATGTAACGGTTCATGAAAAAATTCCGAACGGTACACTTAAAGAAATGACAAAGGCCTCCGGAAATAGCTGTGGTGGGACCTCTGTTGATGATGCATTTATCCAGCTGTTTGTTCGCATATTTGGTGGACCACTTCTAAACAGTATGAAATCAGACAGTCCAGATTCTTACTTATATCTGCTGAGAAGTATAGAACAAGTTAAAAGAACATTTCAACCCACCCAAACTAGAAAAGTGAATTTAACCATTCCATATGCAACTCTCGACGATCTCTGCAAGTCAAATTTTGGGGAAAATATTAAAAATGTCGTCCGTTCATCCTCCCTGGCATGTAACATTGAAATATGTAAAGACAAAATTCGAATTGAACCATTATTCGCTAAATCGCTTTTCAAGACAACATGTGATAATATCATATCTTTAATACAGTCTGTTATACAACAGGGGACAGCAACCAAAGTTTCAAGCATTCTGCTTGTTGGTGGTTTCGCAGAATGTAAGATGGTACAAAATTCCCTGAAAACTGCTTTTCCAAGCATTAAAATTATTTTGCAAGAGGATTCAGGTGTTATCGTTCTAAAAGGTGCAGTTTTATTTGGTTATAAATCCAACATCATATCATCGCGAATAGCACGATATACTTATGGCGTCAGTTGTTATGTGCCTTTTAATGAACGTTTGCACGATCAGAAAAGAAAAATAACTATGAGGGGAGAGTCATATTGCACTAAAATATTTGATCCATTCATGTGGATAAACACGTCTATCCAGTTAGGACATACAATAATTAAAAAAGTGTATTCAACAGACAGTCAGACCGGCTGCTGGTGTCGAGTGCTTATCACGGATAGGGACAATGTTTTGTATACAGACACGGGAGACTGCACACTACTTGGGGAGTTCAAGTTTTCGATTGAAAACCCATGTCGCGAAGAAAAAAAAATAAAAACTGTGTTCAACTTTGGAGACACTGAATTTTCAATTACCGTGTTAGATCTTGAATCAAAAACTGAAAAGAAGGAATTCTTTGAAATTCAACGTTAGAATGATCTTAATTAATTTTGTACGCCTTTAAAAAGCAATTTAGGCTCTTAATAATCTGATTTTCTTTGAAATAATATTTCAACACATCAATTGGAACCATAACTTTAAAATAATTATGGATTCCATTGAGGACTACGTCAGAGCAAGGGCTAAACGAGAAGAAGTTGAACTGGACACTTTGTCAGAATGGGTCAAAAGAATCAGGTCTCTGATAAACGTCGCATTCATAAGTTGAAAAACTGTGCGAATGATCGACCAAAGTCCATTTTAAGAGACAAAGAGGCTGTGAAATGTCTATCATCTCCTCATGATAAGTGTGTTATTGTTCCTGCGGACAATGCTTCAAATAATATTGTCTTTGTATGTGAATCGTATTACTACGAATGTCTTGCAAAAAAATTAGGAATAAATGAGCACTCATGTAATCCCACATACAAAGACATATCATTTGACAAGGATCAGATTTTGGCGAATCATAAGTCCTTCATGGCTTCAATGAACATTACATTGAACGACAAATCAGAGGACTTACCTTGTTTGTATTGGATACCTAAGCTTCACAAAATTCCGTACAAACAACGGTACATTGCCGGCTCGTCTGCATGTTCCACCAAAGAATTGTCCATTAGATTGACTAAAATACTGTCCGCAGTGAAAGAGGGTCTTCAGAAATACTGTGAAACTGTTTACTTGCGTAGTGGTATTAATCATATGTTGATTCTTAAAAATTCTAAAGAACTTCTGGATAATTTTAAATCTCGGTCTTTTTCTGAAATTAGTTCTATCAAAACTTTTGATTTTTCAACCCTGTATACCACCATTCCCCATGTGAAATTGAAAAATCGCCTAAAAGAAATAAACCAGAATGCCTTTCAACATAAAAATGGTAGCATACGCTATAAGTTTATTACTTTGGGATACCATAAGGCATATTTTGTTAATAGCGAACAAAAGAGTAAAACATGCTACACAGAGGAACAAGTGATCAGTATGCTGGAGTTTCTTATCGACAACATTTTTGTCGAATTTGGAGGTAGGCTTTTTCAACAAATTGTCGGCATTCCTATAGGAACGAACTGTGCGCCTCTCCTTGCCGACCTCTTCTTATTTTCATATGAATCGGAGTTCCTTAAAACACTTGTCAAAAACAAGAAGATCAAAGAAGCCAGATTATTCAATTGCACTTTCAGATATATTGATTATGTTCTTTCCATTAACAATCCTAACTTTTCTGATTGGGTTCCATTAATATATCCCTCAGAACTAGAAATTAAAGAACAACAGACACGGCTTCCTCTGCCTCATTTTTAGACTTATACCTCGAATTTGACATACACAGTCATCTCAGTACCAGAATCTATGACAAACGAGACGATTGTAATTTTAAAATTATCAATTTCCCCCACCTTAGTAGCAATATACCAAGTTCATATGCATATGAGGTATACATTTCCCAACTTATTCGGAATGCAAGAGCTTGCAGCTCCTACTCAGACTTTATAAAACGTCACCAGTGCCTGAGCAAAAAGTTGATGAACCTTGGGTATGTCAAAGAACGTCTCGTCCTTTTTTCTAAAAAAGTTCATCGGAAGGTACCAAGACCTTGTTGATAAATATTCCGTATCAACTTCACAAATAACACATGAAGGTCTTGAAGTATATAGATTCTGCGTACTGACGCTGTTTATCATCTTAATAACGTGTTCTTTTATTTGTCTTTATTATAATATTAATTTTACTGTTTGGTCTGTTTTTGGTGATATACATTTGACGTAGCTCTGTACTTATGCATCCCGTCATTGTGTTGTTTGTATCATTTTTCATTTTTACTTGTGTACTTAAATTTATCGGGTGCCCGTAGCTTATCCATTGTTCCCAGAAAACGCACGTGGTTTTGAGCGGGACTTGAATTTGTTGCTTATTTCTATGTTTTAGGAATAGTGTTATTGTTGCAATTCTCTTGTTGTTCCACATGATCAAATTGTTCATCGTCCTCGAATTCATTTGATTCTGAATTGAATTGTTCCTTTTCACATGTTTTGTTGTTTTCGCTCGTTTTATGCAATTGTCTCCTATTTCTTCTGAATGTTTTTCCTTTAATGTTGATTTCATATGATCGTTCGTTTACTTTCTGATTAACTGTTCCTTTCTCCCATGTCTTTTGATATTTGTTTGCTGGTTCCACTCTCACAACGTCTCCTTCTTTTAAAGATGATAGTTCCTTTGCTCCTTGATTGTAATAATGAGCTTGTCTTTCTTTAGAGTATTGAATTTCCTTTTGTACATTCTGTCCTTCTATTTTTGGTTTAAGTAAACTTTCTTTTGTGGGTATTAGTGTTTTTGTTCTTCTGTTCATCAATCGTTGAGCGGGACTAGTTTCGAATCCTTGAGTTGGTGTATTTCGAAAGTCTAGTATGGCTAAATAAGGATCTGATTGTGCATGTTTTCCTTTCCTCATTAACGATTTGGCGGTTTGGACAGCATGTTCTACTTTCCCATTACTTTGTGGATAATAGGGTGATGATGTTTCATGGCTAAAATCCCATTCTTTGGCAAAATTTCTGAATTCAACACAGTTAAACTGAGGTCCATTGTCAGAAAAACAAGTGTCGGGTATGCCATATCTAGCAAACTGTGCTCGTAATTTATGAATGACTGTTGTTGCTAGAGTGTTTTCTAGGTAGTCGATCTCCCAGAAATTTGAGAAATAGTCTACAGTTATTAGGTAATTTCGTGTTTCAAATGTCATTAAGTCAATACCGACTTTTGCCCATGGTCTTAAAGGGACTTCATGTGAAATTAATGGTTCTTTACTTTGTTTCCGTTCATACGTGCGGCATGTTTCACATCTTAAAATGAAATCTTTCACTTCTGAATTCAAGCCTGGCCAGTAGAGGCTTTCGCGCGCTCTTCTTAAGCATCCTTCAACTCCAATGTGAGAAGAGTGTATTCTGCGGATCATATCGGATCTTAAGGACTTTGGTATTATTACTCTTTCACCTTTGAAAATTAGTCCATTTTGAACAGTGAGTTCATCTCGGATGTCGAAGTATATATTTATCTCATGTGACACATCAGATTTTATGTCTGGCCATCCTGATTGTATAACGTGTTTGAGCTTTTGTAGTTGTGTGTCAGTTTCTGTGTGTTGTTGGATTTCTTTGAGCCTTTCTTCTGATATTGCAAGATCTTTTATCATGTTTATTGCTTCTATTTCTTCACTTTCTGACTCGGTTTGCTTATCCTTGAGATATGCTCTGCTTAGTGTATCTGCGAGATACATCTCTTTTCCTGGTTTGTATACTAGCTGTATATTGTATTTCTGTAGTTGTAACATCATTCTTTGTAGTCTCTTTGGTGCACAATGTAGAGGCTTCTTCAAAATTGACTCTAATGGTTTGTGATCTGATGTTACATACACATTTCTGCCATATGTATATTGGTGGAATTTTTGTAGGCCAAAAACTACAGATAAAAGTTCTTTCTCAATTTGTGCATATCGAGTCTCTGTGTCAGTGAGTGCACGACTAGCATACGCTATCGGTTGATTTTCCTGCAATATTGCTGCTCCAAGACCTGTTTCAGATGCATCGCTTTGTAGTGTAAGCTCCATGTTTGGATCATAGTATTTCAGAACAGGTTCACTGGTTACTAGTGTCTTTATCTCATTTAAAGCTTTGTCATGATTATCTAACCAGCAGAATTCTGAATCTTTAAGTGTCAATTTTCGGAGTGGTTCACAAATATGGCTTAGCTTGGGTAGAAATTTGCTCAAGTATGTTACAAATCCTACCAATCTCCGAACTCCTGAAACATCAGTGGGCTTAGGCATTTCTAGTACTGCGCGTACTTTTTCTGGATCCATTTTCAGACCTTTATTGGTAATCAAGTGACCAATAAATTTTACTTCTTTCATCTTCAATTTGAGTTTGTCTTTATTCAATTTAAGATTTCTTTCCCTGCATCTTTCCATTAGCAATCGGAATTTTCTGTCATGGTCTTTAATAGCTTCTTCTTCTGTTTTCCCTTCACCATAAATCAATATGTCATCAATTATGCTTTGGACTCCAGGTAGACCTTCTACTGCCTGATCTTGTCTGCGCTGATATTCTTCTGGCGCTGAGGTAATACCAAAAGGCATTCTTAACCAACGGTAACGTCCAAATGGTGTATTAAATGTAGTCAGGTATGAAGACTCTTCATCTAACTGGACGTGCCAGAATCCATTCTTTGCATCAACAACACTGAAAATTTTCGCATTCGAAAGCTCAGGTAGCAGATCATCAATTGTATGTAGTGGGTAATGACTTCGTTTGATGTGTTGGTTGAGGTGTTTAGGGTCAATACAAACTCGTAGCTTATTCGGCTTTACCACGGTTACTAAGCTTGAAACCCATGGCGTTGGTTTAGTGACTTGTGTAATAATGTTCATATCACAAAGTCTGTTTAGCTCAGTTTGCAGTTGGTCCTTTATTGCAACAGGTACCTTCCTTGGTGGGTGTACTACTGGTTGAGCATTTTCGTTCAACTCCAGATGATATTTTCCTTCAAGTAAACCTGTACCTTCAAAGACATCTTCGTATTCTTTCAGAATATTTGCTTTATCAATTGGCTTATATGAATCCGGTGACATTGGTGCTCCTTGCTGTACACTTTTAATGTTTTCATAGTGTATTGTCATTAAGTTCATAGCTTGAACTGTTTTGTTACCAAGTAATGGAGTGAGTGTTTTATCTTTCACAACAATAAATTCAGCTTTGAATTTAGCATCATTCTTAGGATTGATTAGTTTCAGCTGGCAAGTACCAAGTGGTTTTATTGTAGTGTTATTGTACATTTTAAGGACTTGGCTTGTTTTCTTTAGTTCTTTAATTCCTAATTCTTTCAGCGCATTGCTATTTATAATGTTACATGTTGCACCACTGTCTAATTGAAATCTGACTGGCATGATTTTGTTACTTACAATGTTCATTGTTGCGTACACATGACGGCTATTTGTACCATCTACAGTGTTGATCGGTACAAGGGTTACTGCTTTGATTTCAAAAAATTCATCACTGTCGTAATCTTCTGACGCATAATTATCTGACAGAGTACGAACTTGCTGTGGTCTTCTCATTTTTGTTATCTTGCCTGATTGGCACACTGCTTCAAAGTGGTTTGTTTTGCCACATTTACGACAAGTTTGACCATACGCTGGACAGCTGGATCTAGAATGTTCATGTCTCTTTCCACAATATTTGCAGTTGCTATTACTTCGGTATTGTTGCTTTTCATGTTTGACATAAGTGCCTTGTTTCTGTTTGAATTTTGTGTTAGGTTTTGTCTTATGTCTTACAGCATTTACTTCAGTGTTGGAGGCAGCTGTAGGGTTTTCTATAGTTTTGATTCTTTCTTTAGTAAGCTCAGCAGCTCTTCCCAATTGCATGGTTTTATCAAGTGTAAGATCTAGCGTGCGTAGTAAGCGTTCCCTCAGACTTGAGTTGCTTATGCCGCAAACAATACGATCACGTAGCAGGGAGTCATTCAGTGCCCCATAATTACATGTGGATGCAAGCAGTTTTAGTTCTGTGATGTATTTGTCGAATGTTTCATCTTGACGTTGATTTCTCATATTGAACATGTATCTTTCAACTGTTTCATTTTTCTTGGGATTGCAGTGGTTCTCAAATGCTTCTATGACCTGTAGAAATGTTCTTTCATTCGGCGGACGTTCAAATGTCAATGTTTCGTACACTTCTCTCCCTTGGGTGCCTACCAGATAAAGAAACATTTTTACCTTAGCTTTCTCATCTTCTGAGTCCATTGTCAAATCGATGTAAAGTTCAACTTCTTCTTTCCATCTTTTCCACGCATCAGCGAGGTTTCGAGCTTCAACATTAAATTTATCGGGTGCCCGTAGCTTATCCATTGTTCCCAGAAAACGCACGTGGTTTTGAGCGGGACTTGAATTTGTTGCTTATTTCTATGTTTTAGGGATAGTGTTATGCTTTCTTGGTTACTTCCCTGTTTCCAAATGACGGAATCTTTATATTTCTTCTTAAATTTTCATTGTATCGTCTTTACATCTGACACCATGTTTCAAGTTTTGGCTTCGAGTGATATAAACACAGTACGTTGAACTACATATTTAATAACAATACAATGCATTATGGGTACATTCCATTCTAACAGTTTGTAAATAAACAATAGCTAAATTAAGTATGCAGACCCGGACGCGTCTTATAAATTGGAGTATTGTTACATGTGTGCTTTGTCCGTGTGATTTTTTTATGTTTCTTTGATACATATGACGTGTCTCTGTACTCTAAACATCCCGCCATTGTGTTATTGTTCTATTATAATTTTTGCATACTTTGAACGACAAAATTATTTTATATCTCTACCTGTGTGACGTTTACATTCTGACGTCAAACACGCGATTCTACGCTAGAGTTTATGTTAAAATTACGAATCGGTACCAGTGCTTACAATACCTCGATCCTTTATGGGCTGATTTGGCATACATAAATAAAATACAAAAATAAGTAAGCAATGAACGAGGTTGTTAAATGTGATATATGCTTTTTTGTGCTACTTTGTTAAATATTTGTTTGTTTTTGTTGTGATTAAGATTGTGACACGGTGTTAACTGCTGTACCCCTATTTTGACATTTTTACCTATTATGTCTGTTTGTTTTATTCACGCATCGTTGTCAATATAATGGAATTTGATGCGACAGTCATACAAGTGAGAGGTTTAGCGCTATAAAACCAGATTCAATCCACAATTTTCTACATAAGAAAATGCCTGTACCAAGTTAGGAATATGACAGTTGTTGTCCATTCGTTTGA